ATATAATAGAAAGCCTAAGTAATAAATGTATTTTAACTTTCAAACATTTGCCATTTCGAATTTTATTGATATCAAGATAATAACTTGAACATACTTTATATTTTTTTAGTGGATAAAAATTATATATGTATCCATTCTGTACTTTAGGGGAGACTGGAGCTAATAGATTATAGAGGTAGATGGACCGAATCTACGTTAAAAACAAAAGACTGGAGACACGCGTAAACGTTTCTGAGCATACAATAGAAACTGCTGCTCAGAGTCACCCGAGTCACCTGTGACGTGAACCTATATCGTTCGAAAGTCGTGATACATTTTTGAAAAATCGTAAGTTCACATACCTTTATTCTTGAAAAACTTCCTGTTTTACAATTATATATGTAATTGTCTGAGGTGTTGACTAAATTGTTTATTTACTTAAATCTTCCTGAAATCATTTTATTATCTAATTATTTTACACATGATGTAGATAAATGTCTGAGAACAATTTTATAGTAAAACAATTATATTAAACATTTTTAAAAAAATGTCTTGAATAGTTTTTTAAATATGAAATTTTACTCAAAAAGAGTGAAAAATGTCATTTTTTTAAGAAGTGAAATATTTTCTTTGTTCTCAAAAAATGGCCGTATTTTCACTCTGTTAGAGTGAGATTTTACTTCAAGAAATTTAGAGAGAGAAAGAGAGTAGATTAAACATGAATTAATTAAAAGTTGTATAATTTCTTAAAAAAATTAATTATTCCTGAAATTTTAAAAAATTTTAAATTAATTGCAAAAATTGTTATTATTCTTTAATTACCATGTGCATTTAATTGAATATACATCTATATGTGAATTCAGAACGATACATGTTTCAACTTATATACGTATCATTTACAAAACACATGTATATACATTTTATATTTACTATCGTTTAAGTAAGAGAAACTAATTGTGGTCAAAGCTAGATGTTGGAATAATATTTCTGTATGTATTTTAAATGTATTTATCTTAAATGTATATATGATTGTGCGTGGATTTTTTAAATTGTAGAGTTATCAAAAAAATTGGCATCAAAATCCACTCTTGTGAGTGTTTGTATTAAATTGATACTTGGCAAACTTTTAGTTCCAACTATAAAGAATAATTCAAGCAACATTTTACAGCTTCAACTCATGTTCTTGTATAAGTTATACAGCGTAAAAGCAAAAGTACGTGCTCTTTGGCGGTTTGACTTTACATAGTGTTTCAATATCTTACATGCATATACCACATTTTCTTAAAAATTATTAATTGAAAACTATAAGAATCAGTATGTTCTAAATACATTTTCAACATTTTCCATGCTTACAATTATTATTTTTATATAATAATAACAATGTATATAACAAATGAGTCCAAGTTTTATGCTGAACAAAAATGCTTACATGCTACATAAACTTATGGCGTTTTGTAATTAGTAATTGTTTATTTATTTAAACCCTTCTTATCTAACTATTTCGTTATCTAATAATTTTTTGTATAAATAGTACGTTTACAGATAATAATAATGACCTGAGCGTGACATTTCTTTGTCATAAATATTCAAAATTACAATAAAAAACTGAATATGATTAAAGAAACTGCAATATATTGAAATATAAATGTATATTCTGTTTCATTTATCTACATGCCATACGATATATAATAAACAAATAATATCATATAGTAATCGGATTATTCCACTGCCATCTGTATAAACGATATATATGACAATGCAGTTTTCAGAATATTTGTAACAGTGCTTCGAGTAACATAAAAAAATTTTCCGGCAGTAAGTTGAAGAGGGATCTTCGTTCTCATCATAATAAATATGAAATCCTTCACTACAGAGGGCGACAGTTTATGCCACGTTGTACTATATATTGCCAAAACGATCGATTCACTTTGTTTTCGTAAAGTTTCACCCGCATGCGTAAACAAGAAGGACTGCACAATATAGTACTGGACGAAAATCATACTTTTTACTACACTAATATAATCTTGATCCTTAATGGACATAATCACACCCGTTCCTGAAAAGGACACATTTTCTTGTTTTTTTTTCTGAATCATTTCTTGCTCTTAGATACAATCGATACTTTATTTTGGTATTACACATTTTTAGTACAATTCTTTCTCAACAGCACTTATTCGTTGTATCACGCAATTTATTATAAATATATGACGATATTTGCAAGTTTCAACATTATTAATCAAATTTCTGTAAATCTATTTTCATAAACAGATTTAATAGTGTACTTTAGTAAAGTAAAAACGATAAATAATTTTATTAGTTATAAAGAAAATGAATGGCCAATTGCAACATATAAATACCTGAAATCGCAATGAAAATGGTAGTTATTGATAAACGAAATAAGACATTGAGATTGAAGGTGTCTTCGATATTTCTGGCCAGTATTATCAGTTTGTAATGTCTTCTGATCCAAGATCCCAATATGCTACGATAATGATTCCTTTCGTTGGTACTTTTACCAACGAGTTCAATAAAGCGAATTCTTAGGAGTTCTAATTGACCACAGAGGTGCATAGTAATAGCAAAGAAGAAGCAATCGCTTGAACATTCAGCCACATAGATTATGAAAGCCTGCAATATTTGCATGAGAAAAAGTGTTTTGTATATAGAATATGAAACCCTTCCGAATAGGCATGTTGACGGAATAACAAAATTCCATAAAACTTCTGTGTTATTGCCAATAATTACGACCTATTAAAATATTTCAAGATGTGTTATACAATTTTACATTTATAAAAGACAAACGACAAATGTATATTAAACGTAAAATATAACAAATTAAAATGCGATATTTGTAAGAAATGTTTATATCAGTAATGACACTTTTTCAGAATTTTATTCTTTATTAATTAATTTAATTTTCTAATCTTTTATTTATGATAATCATAGTATTCCCTAGTGGTATAGACAAATTTATATAAATTTTTTTTATTACAATCCTTATGTTATATAATATGGTGACAATATAAAGTAATAAAGATAACTTATATTTGTATTACAAATAAAACGTCACCTGTTGTCTATTTCCAAAAAAAACAGAGGGGAAATATACAACAGCGGCCATAAATCCAACCATTAATTGAGACACAGTGATCACTCGACCTATTCGTGCATATCCCGTCATTATTAAATGAGACTGCTTCTCTGTTGACGAGGTCGACCAATCGTCAATCGCAGATGTTACGTTGACAGCAATCTTTTTCATGTAAATGCGCGAGAAAACGATATTTATCCACGAGTGTAAGTTCGTCTCCATTAGAAGAAATACTTCCAGAGTGTCTTTGGTATCACCGCAGTTTATGAAAAGTTCTATCAGCAAGCAGATCAATGTGAGAGACTATATGATAACAAAGGTTCAACCATTTCATATATAAACGTAAATTAGATTGTACATAATTGTTGATAATAGAAATATATGATATTTAATTTAGATTAGACATCCATTAATTAATTTTTTTAAAACATTAATTACATGTGAAATCCCTCAAATTAAAATTATTAATTAAAAGATTGTTACTAATTAAATTATAATTATTAGATTGTTATTAATTAAATTATAAATATAGTGACTTTAAATAAAAAATTTGTATGCATTATAGACAACATAGACATTTGCATTTATCGCCACATCCTACATTTAAGAAAGGAAATTATTTCCTTTTTATATAATGTCTTATCTTACCTGTTCAATGAATACGATAATCCAACGAAATGTACATACTATATCGTCCTGATGCAAAGGCCATACACCGACTATCCACATAATCATCCTTATCACTGAGAAACCATAGTCCATACCACTGTTCCAATTTGTCTTCATACCCGGCGACGTGCCAGTTTCGATCGCAAGAAAATTATGGCGATATCATACATAAAATGTTGTTCAATTTATGCAATGTACAGCTCCGAAAGGAATTACTACAGTCAGACGTATCACTTGTTCATCGATTGATATGATGGTAAGATAAGTATGGCACTGTAATTTCTGTGATCATACATTTCTGTAATATCCATGTTTTTCCATAATATGTACTATTGCCCGTATTCAGACGTTGTAAGCTTCCTTAAATTTATCTTTAGATGTTTTATGAATTATTTCATTGGCTACTGAGCATCTAAAGATAAATTTAAGGAAGCCTTAAATTTATCTTTAGGTCTGACTATGAATACGGTCCTATATCTACAATAATTTTATCATTTCAATACTTCTGAATGATCACGATTTTAGCAATGACATTTCACTTTGTACTTACAGTGTCTGTTTGACATAATCGATCGATAACAAATGTGCGACACAAATGCATATGGTAAGATAAATTTCAATTTATCTTTAATTATGTATTCTTTTTTTTTTCTTTCATGTATGATCGCTTATTTTTTGAAATTTGTATTATCAGGTTAAATAAATGATATTCTATGACGATGCAACCATAATTAAAGTCTTGAATGTAAAACTTTTCTTTTTTTTTTCAAGTCAAAATTTTTCTGCTCATTAAAAATGTTTATATGTGGTTCTATTTGTTCAATAATATTAATTATTTTATTGATGTAATTATTCTTGGTAATAATAGTTATGTAATAGTAAAAAATATTATATAATAGTAATAATAATTATATAATAATAAAAAAATATTATATTTAATATTTTTTTATATATATCATGTATTACATTTTTAAAAAATTGTCATATATAGTTGAAATAAATTAACCAATAAAAGAAGAAACTTAAATATTTTCGATATCTTTCGATATTTACAAATTATTACAATAATAATAATGTGTGTAACAAATTTGTTCAAGTTTTTAGCAGAACAAAAATGTTCAAGAATTAAAAATAAAATACAAATATGATTAGAGAAACTGCAATATATTGAAATATATAAATATATTCTGTTTCATATATTTACACACCATTATCTACATGCAACGATATAATAAACAAATAATTTCACATAATGATTGGACTATTCTTCCATTGTTACTCGTAAAAACGATATGTAAGTCAAGGCAGTTTTTAAAATGTCTGTCGTAGTCCTTCGAGTAATATAAAAAAATTTTCCAGCAGTAAGTTGAAGAGGGATCTTCGTCCTCATCATAATAAGTATGAAATCCTTTATTATAGAGGGCGACATGTTGTGCCACGTTGTGTTATATATAGCCGAAAAAATCGATTCGCTTTGTTTGCGTAAAGTTTCACCCGCATGCGTAAACAAAAATGATTGTACGATAAACAATTGGGCGGATAACATACTCTTTAATACATTAGTATAATCGTGATTCTTAATGGACATAATTATACGCATTCCTGAAAAGGACATTTTTCTGTTTCTTTTGAATGCCTATAATTTTTTGCATTTACAAGAGAATCTCCCAAAGTGTCAAATTCTAATTTTGATATTTAATGAAACTTTATATTCACATAAATCACCGCCAATAATAATTGGTTTTTGGAAGTTGGGGGCTGAAGGAGAATGGTGGAAGATGGTAGAAAGGATATTAGGGGAGGATGGTTGAAGGAAAAACTGGAAAAAAAAGAAAGAGGTACTTAGGATGAGAGGAGTGAAAATGAGAGTGTGATACAGGGGGAGAAAGAAAGGGAGAGAGAGAAAGAGAAGGAAATAGAGATAGAGAAAGTGATACGATAGGGTACACTGCCATATGTTAACAGAATAAAATTTGCACAATGAGTAAGTTTAGAATGGAACTTGCGATGGAAGCGGAGGTCTATATGTGTGTGTGGGTGTGACATGCGAGCGATAAGATAGAATTAAGTTTTTCATTAAGTTTTAGTTAATAATTAGAATAAGTCCTTGCGATTTTTGTATTGTTCATGGAGATGTTTGTTAAGATATTTGTATTGTATTCCCGAGAGGAATCAATAAACCATTACTACTACTACTATTACTACAATCCTTTTAACGTAAAGTAATTTTCATCTTTTCTTTGTTATATTTCAAAAACTATTCAAGATAATATTTTTGAGGCTTTCTATATAGACTATTTTCTATATAGAAATTATGTGTTTCGCGGGTTATTTCCGTGTCCATGTCCATTCTTGTAAGCTTTACAGTTCACTTCATCAGGGCAAAAAGCAGTCTGATACAGTATTGTATTAGACTGTTCCTGATGAAGTGAACTGCAACGTTCATAAAACATTAGCATTCCAAAAATGAATGTGGACATGGAGATAACTTGCGAAACTATATAAAAAAATATTTTATGCAAAAGATTTATAATAAAATTAATCTTTTTATCAACGTCAATGATATTCTAAAAAAATAATTGAAAAGAAAAACTGTTTCAAATATAAGAGGTGATTTCATCTTTTAAAAGTTGAATAGCCGTAACTAATATTTTTTAAATTCACTTATTTACGTAACCAACATATTTACGTTTAATAAAAATAAAAATTTGACAATTTTTGGAAGATTCTCTCGTTATATACAAATGATATTTTATTTCAGTATATATTAATACTAGATATTTTTGGTACAATTTTTTCTCGACAGCTCTTATTCTCGTTTGGAGATAATTCATTATAAATATATAATAACTTTGGCTAGTTTCAACATCATTAATCAAATTTTTGTAAATATATTTTTATAAAAAAATGTTTAATACTGTAGTTCAATAAGTATAAAAAATTTTTAGCACCAAGGAAAATGAAATGTGCGATTACGATATATGGTATACAAATACCTGAAACAGCAATAACAATAGTAGTTATTGTCAAACGAAATAAAATAATAAGATTAAAGGTGTCTTCAATATTTCTGGCCAGTATTATCAATTTGTAATGTCTTCTGACCCAAGACCCCAATATGCTGCGATAATGTTTCCTCTCGTTGGTATTTTTTTCAACAAGTTCAACAAAGCGAATTCTCAAGAGCTCTAGTTGACCACAAAGATGCATGGTAATAGCAAAGAAGAAGTTATCATTCGCGCATTGTCCTATATAGACTATGGATACTTGTAATATTTGCATGAGAAAAAGTGCTTTGTATGTAGAATATGAAATCCCTCTGAATAGGCATGATGATGGAATGATGAAATTCCACAAAGTTACTGTCTCATTATCAATAGTTACGACCTATAAAAATATTTCAAGATGTGTCATATAATTTTACAATTATAAAAAACAAATAATAAATGTATAATAAACATATAATAAATATAGTTAGTTAGTTAGTAGCAACACTCTCTTAGAATTTTATTCCTTATTAATTAATTCATTTTCTAAATATATTATTTAGGCTAATTATAATATTTTTCATAAATACAAGGGAATTTTTACGGATTATTTTTATAATTATTGCTATGTTGTTCAGTATGATTACAGCATAATATAATTGAAGTATAATAAATGTTAAAAAGAAATCATTACTTGTTGTTTATTTACGACGATAGCGGTAAGATATACGGCAATTGCTATGAATCCAATCATTAACTGAGTCACAGCGATCATTCGACTTATTCGTGCGTATCCCGTTATTATTAAATAAGACTGTTTCTCCCTCGACGAAAACGACCAATCGTCAATTGCAGATGTCACGTTGATGGCAATCTTTTTCATATAAATACGCGCTAAAACGACATTTACCCATGAATGAACGTAGAACTCTATATTAATAAAAGCTTCCAGAACGTCCTTGGTATCACCACAGTTTTGGAAAGATTCTATCAGCGTGCAGATCACTGTGAGAGACTATATGATATCAAAGGGGTTCAACTGTTTCATAAATAAATATAAATTAATTTTCATAAAATTTTTGATAATAAAAATAAACTAAATATAGATTAGACATGAATTAATTGAAAGTTTCATAATTTTTCTTTGAAAACCTAATTACCCTTAAAATTCCTTTTTTAAATTAGTTGCAAAAAATTGTTGTTACTTAATATGAACTTTAACTGCTATGTGTATTCAATTGGATGCACATCTATGTAGATCCAGGATGCCGCGTATATCAATTTGAATGCACATACATTTTCAACTTACTATCATTTAAATAAAGAATCGAAAACATTTTTTGTATTGATTTTATATGTACATATTGTAAGTATACGAGTATATTATGAATTTTGAAGAGGTTTATTAACTTATTGTTAGACGAAAATTTTTTGGTAATTATTCGGATTAACGAGCACCGTGCCGATGATCTTGACCTTGACATATGTTGTCAAGGACATGACCCTGAATGACCTTCGAAAGGTTTTAGGTGGCGGTCACTGTTCGTTCTAAAGTTATTAACAAATTAAGTTTAAAAAATAATGTCTTATTTCTGCTATATATTAACGAATATACGATTTTCCACGCGAAGAGAGGTTCACCTCACCTCTTCTCCACCTGCCTAGCGTGAATTTTCATGCAAAACGAGATCTACTCCACTTCCTCTCTTCGCGTAGAAAGTTGGTCGCTCCTAGACAGAGGGGAAGGTGGGACGGACCTAGCTTCGCGTGGAAAGTCGAGCACCCCTAGATAGGGTGAGGTGGGGTGAACTTCTCTTTAGATAAATTACTGAAAAAAATCATGTGACAACGTTACATGATGAAATCATGTAATTAAAACATGTAAATCATGTAACGAATTGTTCCAAATCAGTACGTGATTTTTTTTAAATGATGTATTGTTTGAAAAATCACATGATATTACAACTAATTTCATCTATCATGTGATGTTATAGTTATAGAATTTTAAAGAATTGAATGATAGAAATAGAAGAAAAAAGAACATATCGTGTGACTTTTCAAAATACGTAATTTTAAAATCATGTACTGATTTGGAACAATCCGTTACGCCATTTACATGTTTTAATTACATGATTTCATGCAACTGTGTGACGTGATTTTTTTCATTAGGGGAAAGTCGAATGACCCTAGACAGGAAGGTAGTTTTTGAGATTATATATGATAGAAATAACACATTATCTTTTAAACTCAATTTGTTAATAACTATTAAATAAAGTGACCACCAGCTAAAACTTTTTGAAGATCACTCGCGGTCATGATCTTGACAACATATGCCAAGGTCAAGGTCAACAGCACGATGTTCGTTAATCGGACTAATTACCGATTATTTTAAACATTTTATTGAAAAATCTAAATTTTAATGTGAAAAATTTATTTAAAGTTATATTATGTATATACATAATATAATTTTGAACAAATTTGTATATATATGTATATCATGAAAACAGCTACAGATTTATGGCAGCAATAAATACGTATTGATATTTATA